CTTACCTATCAATCAATCACTTTTTCTCTCTCCTCTCTCCTTTCCAATCACTTTTTCTCTCACACACATCTACTCAAATTCTCCCAAAATATCAAATCATTCCAAACTCCCAAAAAAACAACTCTCCCAGCTCTGATACCACTTGTTAACATAAATTTCAGAACATGAAACTTCATGTTTCAGATCATCTACCATGTATATCATCAAGAAATCAAGACAAAATGACATACCTGAATCCATTGATGAACGGTTAAACGGAAGCGTGATTATCAATGAACTCTTTGTTATTGATTATGTTATTGCCTTCTAATCCTTTCCCCTTTGGTGCCTTATGTTTCTCCTTGAGAGGATTTAGAGAAAAAAAAAATGGCAGTGTTCTTATTTTCACTTTTGGGAAGGAATAGGGACCATAACCTTTTAAAGGTTGTAATTGGTTTTCAAAACTGAAAAGTTGTGGAAGTCCAAAAGGCATGAAAACCAACTTTAACCATTATTGGTTTTAATTTCTATTTATTGGTTTTCAAAACTGAAAGGTTGTGGAATTCCAAAAGGCATGAAAACCAACTTTAACCAATATGTTTTAATTTCTATTTCTGCCCCTCATAGAAATAGAAATTATACAACTAGTATCTACACATTAGGTCCATAACACATATACCCTTAAGCCTATTAACTAAATTGAATCACTTAAATTGTAGGCTTCTTATAAATGATAACACCACATTTAATTATGTGGTCCCATTGAGACATTATCTAACATCAATATGTTCTCTTTTGAGCTTCAGAGTTTCAATTGTTATTTGGAATAATTTAAATAATTATATTTTTTTGACTTTTTATGAAAAGATGTACAATATGATAGAAAAATAATATGACCCCAATAAAAAGTGATGTGACATAAATAAGATAAAAAGATGTACTAAAATAATGTATGTCAAACAAGACCGTCTTAACGTTCAATTCTGTTTTGTTCAGTTATTTGGTGTATATATAAATTCTTACACACATACACATATTAAATTATTAATTAACTCCCTGAGATTGAGAGATGGAGATATGTTTTCTGGGTTTGGGTTAAAAAAACATGCCATGGCTTTGAAAGAACTGACTAATGATGGAAGAAATGAAATGCAAACAAAAGAGAAATGGGGTGGGTATTATAAAATTTTTCAAAAATGAAATATAAATAAAACACATACTTTATAATACACACTCTATATATTTTAAGGTATGTACTATATTCTCCAATTATAACATTTGTGATTTTTTTTGTTAATATTTATTGTAGTGTTAATTATGATGTTATTTTTAACTCATTATGATTTTAATTATGATTTATTATATTATTTTAATTATGATCAAAATAATTAACTATAATATTTAGTTATTACTTCTCTGTGATAGTGTAGAATGACCCTTCTTTTTTATTTGCTCTGTTAGTTGATTTGGTATATGTAACTAGGTGGTTCATAAAATATGATTGATGTGTGTCAGATGCTTATACGAAGAGAATAAGGAAATACAATAAGAAAGGGAAACAAATGAGGGTAAAATTGGTATAAAAAAAAATTAATGGCTAACATAAGCAAAAGATGGTAATTTATTTAACGGTAAACTAACAGGGAGAGTGATTTGTATGTTGATTTTAAATTAGGGCTGGGCAAGAAATTCGTATAATTCGTATTGGTTCAGTCTAATTCGGTAAGTTTAGATTGATTTTTTGAATTCGTAGTTCAGTTCGGGATTAGAAATTTAAAAATCTGTAGGTCACGGATCGGTTTCGGATTGAACCCCATAGTTCCAGATTGAAATTGATCCGGACAGTATATAAGTAGTTTATATTTATATTATAGACCCTCCAACATAATATCATTTCTTATTTGATATAAAAGTTAAACTAGTTTTCTTATTACTTTTGTTTGATGCTATGTTTAGGTTTAATACAGAGGAGAACTCTACTTTGTGTAATGTGTATCTAGTTTTATTGCTTTTGTTTGATGCTATATTTATGTTTTTATGAAATTAAAATTTTCTTTTTTTTTTTATTTAATTATGTGAATCTGTGGTCTTAAATCGATCTAATCCGTGTTTAAACGGATTGGTTCGGATTGGTTCCACGATTTAAACGGATTGGATTGGTTCCAATTTGCCAAGAACCATAGATAACGGATTGGTCTTAGTTTTATTATAATTCGAATCAATCCGGACCATGCTCACCCCTACTTTAAATCATGGGGAGAGGATTGTAATTTTTAAAATGTGAATGGAGAATCAATATTAAACCCAAACTTCAAGGGGTGTCAATGTAATTTACCCAAAATCGTTAACATTGTGTTTGGTTGAGAGATTTGATAAGGGATTTGAAAAAAAAAAATGAAAAATATGTGTAAAACTAGGTAAAATATGTATTTTATTCACATTTCACCTAACTTTTCATTTTCATTTTTCAAATCCTTTCCAAATCTCCCAACCAAACACAATGTAACTAAAAATTAAATACATCAAAGGATAAATTTGTCCATAATTATAATACTAGTAAAGAATGTGTACTTAGGTCTTGTTTGGCAATTACGTGTTTTAGTCAAAAAGTCAAAAAATTATTATCAGTTGTCACATCACTCTTTCGTTTTTTTTTTTTTTTGTATATCTTTTTATAAAAAATCAAAAAATTACTAAAATTACTTATTACCAAACAAGGCCTTAAACTCTTTAAAAATTAAATCTAGGGATTTTATTCACTAAAAATTGCTAAGATGCCTTTTTTCACATTAAAAAATTAAAGCCTGGTTTGGTATCTTCAAACAAAAAAGATAAAAAGTGAAAAAATTATTAAAAAAGTTAAAAAGTTATCACTATTTATCAAAAAAAAATTATAAAAAAATTATTTTTACACAAAAAATATACAACTCACTCTAACGTGAGTTACCTTTACCTAACTTTGGTGAGAACAAATTACACAGGCGGATGCAAGCTTAAGGACGATACTGTTTGGCCCATGGGGGCCCATCATGGGTCCCGTTTGGATAATTTGAATCGTTTAATATGTAGAACTCGTCGAGTACTATATGCCTGTAAAAAATCACATTGATCGAATATCACTAACTATATGATCAAATCAGTTTTGTATAAAAAAAATGGATGGTCTTATAGTTAACGGTTGACAAAAAATTAATCTGATCAGATAGCTATCGATATCCGATCAACGTGATTTTTTGAATGTATATAGTACTCGACGAGTTCTACACATTGCACGGTTCCGATTACCAAAACGAGACCCGTGGTGAGCCCCCACGGGCCGAACATCACCATCTAATACAATACCCGAAAATGAGGCAAGCATAACATTTTCACTAGTCTCCTACTACTCTGCTTTAAGGCCTGCCTATTCTTCTTTACCTTATCCTATACATTAAATTATACAATTTTTTAATACACATTTTTTTTTATAAAATGTCAAAAGATTATCTCAAATAATTATATATTTTTTCCTCAACTTTATAATCTAAAAAAATCAGAAAATATATTTATTTAAGATATCTCACAGAACCCTCCTACAGTTAAAGTTTTTTTTTGATTCAAAAGAAAATAGAAACAAACCAAACAGAAACGGGGCAGAACACAAGCCAAAATGAGGGCTCAGAAAAAAAACAAAGAAACTAAGCCCTTTCACATGAAGCCCCAACAATGTCTGCAATCAAAAGATTTGCAATTTCATTTGGGGATTATCTAAAACTACCAAGTTCTCTACATGATTCACTCCCATATTAGCAAGACCATCGGCACACTTGTTCCCTTCCCGGAGAATGTGAGAGACATCACAGTTGCATCTCAGCATAAGAAACTTGATGTCTTCTAGCAAGGCTCTATGTGGATGATTGCTGGGGGTGGTGTTGTTGATGTGCAACACCATTTGCTCTGAGTCTGTTTCAATTGTAATATCATGCATGCTTTTTTCCAAAATGATGGTGAGGCCTCGGTAAATACCCCACAGCTCAGCTTCCTCACTTGTAGCTACCTCCAATTTCCCATGATAGCCAAATATCCAGGTTCCTCTAGCATCTCTGAACAGCCCACCGTATCCAGCAGGTCCAGGGTTGCCTTTGGAGCATCCATCTGTGTTAAGTTTGATTTTCCCTGCACAAGGAGGACACCAGTTAGTTTTAGAGAGCAACATATCGCATGTGAAATGATCAATCTGGAAGACATGGTTGATTTCGGCAGCCTGTTGATGAATCAGTCTCACAGTTTCTTGAGCATTGTACTCCTCTTGTCTGAAAACGAAACTGTTTCTAGCCTTCCACAAACTCCACAGTGTGACTATAAAAATAGTACCCCAAGGGACACTAGAGAACTCTTTGCTCTTGCTCTTTATGTTGTTTTGGAGCCAAGTCTCCAAGGGCATGTTAGCAGTGGATATTCTCCAGTTGCGATTGCGCAGAATTTCCCAAACTTCCACAGCTTTCTGACACTCTCGCAGAAGATGATTCAAATCCTCACAGTAGAGTTGGCATCTGGGGCAGGTGTCAGTGTTGGTAAAACCTCTGATCTTTCTTTGATGGTTAGTCAGTAATCTGTTAAGCATTAGCAGCCACGTGAACCCTTTCAATTTTTGAGGAAGTTTCAATTTCCATATCCAACTCCAGTTAACCAAGCCAGAAGCCTGATCAGAATCTTGCTTGATAATGAGATTATATGCAGCTCCAACTGAGAAGGCACCACTAGAGGATCCAAGCCAATGTGGGTTATCTATAATTTCAACAAATTGTGGGAGGTGTACCTGATGAATTTGATGAAGCACAGACGGTGGCAAAATATTTTCTACCTCAGAAAGATGCCATCCTCCTTCCTCATTAAGCATATCAACAACCTTAACATTCTCATTGGTATGTGGTCCTGGAAAGAGAGAAGCTAAAGGCCCATCCCCATACCACCAATCTTTCCAAAAAGAAATAGACTTCCCATTTCCGACAGTCCATTTTGTACCTTTTGTCAGAATATCTCTAGTTTTCATAATGCTCCTCCAGGTATGTGAAGCATTTTTATTGGTAGGCCAGTTAGCAAAAGTGTGCTTGTGAAGGTATTTGCCTCTAAGAATCTTGGTCCAGACAGCTTCTTGGTCGAAAGTTAATTTCCAGCCCAATTTGGCTAACAAAGCAATGTTCTGATCTTCAGCCCTCCTAAGGCCCAAACCTCCTTCTTGTTTACTCTTACAGACTTGTTGCCAATTAACCAAATGGACCTTGTTCTTGCCCTCTTGATCACCCCATAGGAAATTTCTATTTAGCTTGTCAATTTGTTTACAGATGCTTTGAGGGAGTTTGGTGGTTTGCATGATGTAGGAAGGTATGGAGGATGATACAGATTGAATCACTGTTGCTCTACCAGCTAAGGATAAGGCCTTTGCCTTCCATGAGGACAATTTTTTTTGGATTTTCTTGATAACTCCATTGTAGATATTTCTGCTAACTCGACTGTGGATGAGAGGAACTCCAAGATATTTGCCAAGGTCTTGGGTAAGGCTTATCCCACACTGTTGACTAAGCTCCTTAGCTAAATTCCTGTTAATATTTGGGGAAATGAACATCTTGGATTTCTGCAGATTGATTCTATGCCCTGATATGCAGCAAAACTCACTCATAGTTTCCATGATTATATCACAATTCGATTGGTCAGCTTTCGCAAAAAGAAGGAGGTCGTCAGCAAAGAACAGATGTGAAACTGGAGGGCTGTTATTAGAAGCTTTAAGCCCTTTCCACTTCCCTTTCTCAACCTGCACTCTGATCATGTTAGACAACCTTTCCATGCATAGCACAAACAAATAAGGTGAAAGCGGGTCTCCTTGCCTCAATCCTCTACCAGGGCTAAAATTGTTCATAGTTTCCCCGTTCCATAAAATTGAGAAATTGACAGAAGCAACACAAGACATTATAAGATCTATCCAATGTTGGTTAAGGTTGAACTCTTCAAGAGTTGCTCTCAAAAAATCCCAAGATAATTTGTCATAAGCCTTTTCAAGGTCGATTTTGATAACAAGACCGCCATATTTCCCTTTCTTGTGCCTAAGAGTATGAATCAACTCTTGTGTAATGATGATATTGTCATGAGTGGCTCTATTAGGTATGAAGCTACTTTGACTGGGGCTAACAAGATCATTAAGGAGGGGGCGTATGCGGTTAACCAATAATTTAGACAAAATTTTATACGAGACATTACACAGGCTAATAGGACGAAACTGCGTAATAGTCTCAGGGATATGAGTCTTAGGAATGAGGGCAATAAGGGTTTGGTTCACAATGGGAGGTATATGTTTCTCGTGGAAACACTTTTTAATGAAATCACAAACATTGGTCCCAATCACATCCCAAAATTTTTGGTAAAATATGGCTTGAAACCCATCTCTTCCTGGGGCCTTGAACGAATTAATATGCTTGACAGCCTCCCAAATCTCTTCTTTGGTAATGTTTCTCAGCAATAATTTGTTCTCATCATGTGAAAATTTATGTGTAGCAATATTACACCAGTGGTCAAGGACATCAACAGGTTCATTGTTAAATAAAGAAATAAAATAATTTTGGATATGATCTTTCACCAGCAGAGGGTCATCAATCCATACACCTTGATCATTCTTCAAAGAATCAATCCTCAATTTTTTCCTTCTAGAAATAGTAGATATGTGAAAAAATTTTGTATTCCTCTCACCTTGAGTAATCCAATTAGCTCTAGATTTTTGAAACCACAAAACTTCTTCTTGAAAGAGAGTTTTGTTATATTGACTGATAAGATCTTTTTCTAGCAAAAAGAGGTTATGGGAAGAGGAGAAATGTTGAGCTTTTTGGATTCCCTCAATTCGAGATAACAACCATCTTTTCCTTTTAAAAATATTTCTAAACACAGCTTTGTTCCAAACAAGAGAGTTAGTAGCAAGAGAACTCAGGTTGTCTTGAAGAAAGGATTCATGCTTCCAAGACAAATTGACAATATTTTTGTAACTAGGATGTGATAACCAAGCTGCTTCAAAACGAAAAGGGCGATTTATAGGGGAGAGTTTAGTTATACCTTCAGTGTAGACCATAAGAGGTGAGTGGTCCGAGTATGTACGAGGAAGATTTCGGACTGCTCCTTCGGGGAAGGTGATCCTCCATTCCGTATTACAAAGAGCTCGATCCAACCTTTCCATAGTATTAGCCAATCCCTTCCTGTTGTTTGACCAAGTAAATTTCGGCCCCGTACAACCTAGGTCCATAAGCCCACAACGGTTAATGTTATCGAGAAACTTTCTGCAACGGTTACTGTGATTATTCTGTGTGAAACTTCTCCTTTCATTCTGCCCCATGACATCATTAAAGTCTCCCGCCACAAGCCAAGGGTTAAGCATGGAGTTTGAAGATTCTTCTAGGTCATTCCAGAGATTTTGACGCATACCAGGATTTGGACTAGCATAGACTGCAGCTAGCACCCACTCTTCATAGTTCTCTCTTTTCACAGTAGCCTGAATAACTTGAGAGTTGGCAATATGGGCACTGACTGAGACTTGTGTAGGTTTCCAAAGCAACCATATACCTCCTACTCGTCCAACAGGATCCACAATGGTAGAGGCAGTAAACCCCAAGTGGTTAAAGAATAGACCCATTGAGCTGAAAGGGACCTTGGTTTCAAAAAGAGCAACCACATTAGGCCGATGTACTCTAATTAGTTCTCTAAAGTTTCTCCTAAAAATTTTGTTGCCGGCTCCCCGACAGTTCCATAGCATAACAGTCATGGATGATCGGTTAGGAAGGTGGGGTAACGAATCTGTGTTAGCAAGACCAATGAAGTTACGCACTACCTTCTTGGATAGCTCTGATGGCCTTAGGGCTGCCATCTGAGTTGCCTGCAAGGGACGGCCTCCCACGCTCACCCACCTGGGTTCTATATTCAGTTTTATCTCTTCTATCCACCATTCGATGCCTACTTGGTGAATGGCTTCGCTCTCTGGTTTGAGGTATGACCCCACAGAGCTGTGTTTCATCCTGGTGAGTTGCACTTCTGGTATCTCCGGGTCGTCGTTGGAACTGGTGTTGCTGGGGGTACTCATGATTTGTATCAGGCGGTTTTTGTTTCAGATCAAAACTGCCAATGGGGTTTTGGGGAGCTACAGAGGTAGATGGGGAAGGAGTAAGACAAGAAATCTGGACTGGGGTGGGATTAAAAGGTGATAAGGGGGGGTTGGGTGAACTGACCTCTGCATTCATCAATTCCAAGTCGTTGTTAGTGGCTTGCCCTAAGCTAGGATTGTAGCTTGAAGCAGGAATCTCTGGTAAAGTTTGTCCTTCAACAGCTGGGTCCTGATCTTTGTTGAGTTGTCTTTCATCCTTTTGGCCTTTTGAGAAAATTTCCTGAGCTATAGGAGGATTGCCTGACTCACTAGTAGAGGCTGTTCTGTGTGTGTTTACCATGCTTGGGCCAGTGTGGCCTTGATGCTTAGCTCTTTCGGGGGCTCCTACCATGTTCCCATTTTCAGCTAAAGGGCCAAACCGATTAGCAGATCTTTTGTGAATGTAGTTGTTGGGTCCAGCTGGCCGTGCAATGGGGTTGGGCCTATTATTTTTCCTATTCACCAACATCCAAGGCCCAAATTCGTCTCTCTGCCCTCTGTCAGGAATAGAGTGTTTGCCTGATGAACTAGCCGTTTGAGCTTGATCTAGACCAGCACCATGACCGTTAGCTATGGCTACTGTGGTAGCTGGTGTCAGCTCCGGCACCGGTTTGTTACTGCTACAATATTCTTTCCGATGCCCAACTTTCCCACACTGGAAACAGAAGTAGTGTAAATGCTCATATTCCACTATGTAAGTATATTTTCCTATAGCAAAACGTGAAATTAATGGCTTTGTGAGATCAACTTCCACACAGACGCGTGCATACCTTCCTCGAGCGGACATGGCAGTATTAAGATCTACCTTGAGGGGTTTCCCAATCGCCTTTGCTATATGGAAAAGGACCTTCTCATTATAGTACTCAATTGGAAGCTGGGGAAACCTGACCCATAGTGCCGTGGCCACTTCTCCAGCCTCCGATGGCTTAAAATCATGTTCCCAACGCCTTACTGTGAGATAATGATCCATTATGATCCAAGGGCCCTCTGTATATACTCTGCTACAATCGACCATCATTTCGAACTTGATCAAGAAAAACCCCAAACCCAGATCAGTTGCTTCAAAGTCTCCTTGGAGTCCCCACATCTTTCTCAATTTGGATACAAGGAGTTTATACCCTAGAGTTTTCCCAAGTAATTTGACAATTAGGCAGTCTTTCCATGGCCTACGAATGTGTTTGATGAGACGCGAAGGAAGCTTGATTATGGGGACGTGAAACCCTAGATCAGCAAACCGATTAAGATCCTCTTCCTCCATTGCCTCATTATCTTCCTCATCTGTAAGAAAATCATCATCTGAAAGTCTCTCAAGGTCGTTGTCAAAAGCTTTCTCATTGGTTTTTGTGGCTGTAAGGGCTTGTTTGAAAGACCTCTTTGATTGTTCCTCTGTTGGAGCTTGAATAGAGTCGTTCATGTCCTGGTCTTCAATAGGTGCTGATGTGCTTTTGATCTTTTTGGTGCTTCGCACCAGATGATCTTCTTCCTCCAGTGATCTACCATTTGGGCCTTTGTCTAGTGTCGCAAGATGATCTGCTTGCGGTGCCATCATCTAGCAGTAATGCATAGCTTTGTCTTGTTAAACTTTTTCCTACAGTTAAAGTTAAAGGTCTTGTATCTATAACTTTTGACTTTTGCTTTTGTTTTCACAATGCAGATTGAACCAACAATCTTCATGCTCCTGCTAGGCCTTGTTTGGTTTATGTTTCTTAAAAATTTGTAGAAAAAATTCTTTACAAATAAATTTTTAAAAGTAATTAAACCAAACAAATTTTTTCAATTTTTTTTTCAAAACTTGTTTGGTTTACAAATTTTCCAAACAAATCTCTCTCTTATACACATCAAATCAATCACTTTTTCCAAAATTTTCTCTCAAAATAATTTTTCAAAATATTTTTTTAAAAAAAACCAAACCAAACAAATTTTCATACTTTTTATCTCAAAACATGTTACTCAAATACAAATAACTTGAATACCACCAACATGAGGTGGCGCCGCCCCTCTTTCTCAACAAGATTAATGCTATAACTAGGTGTTTCATACCAATCAGGTAGCCGTTTGGGAAACACTTTTAGGCCATTTTATTTAGTTTTATATATATATTTATTTGATTTCTATATCAGAAAATTTTCAAAAGTTCTTACAAAAGTGGTAAATTACAACTACACTTCTTAAATTTTATTTAAAATATAAATTATTTTTTATAGTTTAAAAAATTATAAATATTCCTTCATTAAAAAAATTTATTTAATAGAATTGACTAAAAAAATAAAATTCATAATTACTCTTATATACAATAATAAAATTACCTAAATTATTAATTTAAACATATTTTCAACATCATTAAAAACTGTTAATTGACTTGATGATTTATTAATGAAAAATGTAATTTGTTATGAAATTAGAAACCTCCAGGGATAGCATGTAATTTTCAAAACTATAGGGGCGATTCGTATTTTAATCAAACTTCAGAAAGTGTATTTGTAATTTATCCAAAAAAATGATCAAATTTAAAAATATATATATAATAAAGAAAAAAAAAAGAATTTTTGAAAAGCACATAAATATATTAAACTTCAAAGAACCGTAGTCCTTCCTACCAAGTCAAGCTCCAATCGCCACTTGACCACCAACCAATTGGTGCATAAATATATTAAACTTCAAAACTAATCCCCCAGCTTTTAATTAAAAAGGCTGCAGCTGAAAGAGATTCAAAACCGATTAATAATGCGTGGACAGCATCAAGTGATCGCATTAGCATGAAAGTTTAAGATTGTTGGTTCAATCTGCATTGTGGAAAACAAGAGCTAGCGTCAAAGTTCCTCAAGCTTACTATTTAAATCCATCGTGTCTTCTATTAAAATTGTTATCTGCCTAGTAAAAGCATAAAACTCATCATAGATTTTAAGAATTATTTAATCTTGGCATGCTTTGTAAAGCCATTTTCAATTCAGTTTCATATATTTTATCAAATTTAAATTTGATAAAAGTATAGTGAAAATAATATTTCAGTCGTTTCATTAAATTGATATCAAATGAAAGGAGGGGTATTTTTTTATTAAATTAGGGGAACGTTTAGTCTTTTATCAAATTTTGTAGGTAGTTGTTGGTGGACGATTGACTAGATAACCAGATTTTGGCCTTATGAATTGAAAATTTACTTTAGACTGGATGACTAAACCAGATTTAGAGAAAATCTTCATTCACCATTGAAATGCCTCATATCATATTGGACTTTTTTTCAATTTTTTATTCAAATTTAATAAAAAAAATTTATGAACCATAACATGAGTAATGTTAGCACCACTGGATTTCTATATCAAATTTGTTTATTATTAGGGGTTGTCGACTAAAATAATTTAAAAATCAAAAGTCGCTTGAAAAATTAAAAAAAAAATCAACAAATATAAAAAAGTTAAAGATTATATTTTAGGACAAATTATGATGGTAGTCCATGTACTTTAATTATTGTATCGTTTTAGTTATTGTAATTTCAATTGACTCGATTTTAATTCTGAATTTATGATTTTGTTTTAATTTGATCCAATTGATTACAAATTTGAACATTTCTTTATGGAAAATAAGCTCATAAGTATAATGAATTATATTTTTTAGGACAAAATTATAAATTTACTCAATTCAGTGAGTTAACCCTCAACCAATTTCGTTATAATTTTTTTTTTTTTTTTTTATAAAAGAAACACTAATGCTATTATAAATTGGATCAAATTGACACAAAATCTAAAATTAAGAATCAAAATTGAGCCAATTGAAAGTATAGGGACCAAAATGACACAAAAGATAAAATATAGAGACTGCCGATGTAATTTTCCCTGCATTTTATTTACTCTATTTTTTACATATATTTTCATAAAACATTAAAAAACCATCCCAAACGTATTAATTTTTTTTTATCTCACATTTTAACTAAAAAATCAAAACACCACTAAAAACTCTGTTCTCAAATGACCCCATAGACGCTGCATATTATATGTTACTCTTGTATAAGAAATGCTATAATACACGATCTATGTATTCATAACATTTGTGTTATTTGGTTAAGATAAATTAGGATGTTAATTATGACTTGGTTACTATTAATTATAATATTAATTATAACTTATCGTGATATTGGTTATGACATGCTGTGATTATTTTATTTATAATTCAAAAAGTTTATCTTATATGTGTTTGGTCATGACCAATTACGTTTTTTTTTTTTTTTTTTAAATTATGATTGAAATTGATTTAATTATAAGCCACAGCTTCTCTCCGGTCCAAGTCCATTTGGAGGTTACTATTAAGTCTTTGTGGGTCCACCATGTAACCCGCATCGATAATCTGAACCGTTCAATATGTAGAGCTCGCTGAGTATTTTATTCTTGTAAAAAATCATATTGATCAAATATCGATAGCTACTTGATCAAACCACATTTGTGTCAACAGTAAGTATGATTTTTAAAATAAATTACTTATACAAATGTGATCTGATCAAATTGGTATCGATATCTGATCAATATGATTTTTTGGAGGAATGAAATATTCGACGAGTTCTACACATTGAACTATTCAGATCATCGATACAAACTCCATGGTGCGCCTACGGAGGCCCAACAACACCCTCTAGTTGGGATACCCAATTAGAGAGGAGTCTCTCCGTAATAACATTTGTGATAATCAATATTACAAATATCATAACTTGTACATGATACACCATTTTGAAAGGATGTGTAGTCTATAATGACCCTTCATAAATATGTAATTTTAAATATAAAATTGAAAATAAATGAAAATTGATGAAATAGTTATTGATATCCGACTAATTTAATTTTTTATTCTACTAAATCTGTCTTAAAAATTAATAATTCAGATAATCAAAGTGAGACCCATTAGACATAATTATAGGTGGGCCAATACACAAATGGTAAGCATTTTGGCACAATCATAGTAATCTTAAAATATCATATGGTATTATCCAAAATAAAATTATACATTTTGTGATAGTATTACGCATTTTTGTAGTAATGTTACGCAATTTTTCATCCAAACAGTTTCTAAGTATAAAATGTGAAACAATATCACAAAATACATAGCATTACTCCAAAAATACGTAATTTCATTTCTCAATCATAAATTATTATAATATTTTATTAAAAAATTATGTATTATTTACCATAAAAATATATAACACTACAAAAATATATAATAATATGCATATATTACACACTCTTAAAGAGGATGCCTACCATAAAAGTTTAAGTTTGAGTAAGGATCCTCTAGAGTTTTTTTTTTCTTAATAGTTTCCTAGAGTGGTGCATTGTGTGGTTGAGATTTAATGACAAAGTCACATCAATTTTTCAGCATTGAATCCAACACACACAAGTACACCACTATTTTAGGAAACTTTAGGAAAAAACACAACTCTAGAGGATCCTTTAGTG